CTAAATATGAGCCAGCAGTGTGCTGCAGCTGCCAAAAAGGCCAACACAGTGCTAGGCTGCATTAACAGAGGGATAGAATCAAGATCACGTGAAGTGTTAATACCACTTTACAATGCCTTGGTAAGGCCACACTTGGAATACTGCATCCAGTTTTGGTCACCACGATGTAAAAAAGATGTTGAGACTCTAGAAAGAGTACCGAGAAGAGCAACAAAGATGATTAGGGGACTGGAGGCTAAAGCATATGAGGAAAGGCTGCTGGAATTGGCCTTACACTTTAATTACCCTGACATCAACTGGAGGACAAACTCTGCACCAAGTGGAAGATCAAACAGATTCCTGACAAACTAATCAAAGAGAGAAGCAACCTAGAACTAAGGAAAATTTTTCTGACAGTTAGAACAATTAATCAGTGGAACAACCTGCCTCCAGAAGCTGTGAATGATCCAACACTGGAAGTTTTTAAGGAAAGACTGGAGAGCCACGCTGCCAAAAAGGCCAACACAGTGCTGGGCTGAATTAACAGAGGGATAGAATCAAGATCACGTGAAGTATTAATACCACTTTACAATGCCTTGGTAAGGCCACACTTGGAATACTGCATCCAGTTTTGGTCACCACGATGTAAAAAAGATGTTGAGACTCTAGAAAGAGTACCGAGAAGAGCAACAAAGATGATTAGGGGACTGGAGGCTAAAGCATATGAGGAAAGGCTGCTGGAATTGGGTATGTCTAGTTTAATGAAGAGAAGGACGAGGGGGGACATGATAGCAGTGTTCCAATATCTCAGGGGCTGCCACAAAGAAGAGGGAGTCAAGCTATTCTCCAAAGCGCCTGAAGGCAGGAAAAGAAGCAATGGGTGGAAACTAATCAAGGAGAAACTTCCTGACAGTTAGAACAATTAACCAGTGGAACAACCTGCCTCCAGAAGCGGTGAATGCTCCAACACTGGAAGTTTTTAAGAAGAGACTGGACAGCCATTTGTCCGAAATGGTATAGGGTTTCCTGCCTGAGCAGGGGGTTGGACTAGATGACCTTCAAGGTCCCTTCCAACTTTACTATTATTATTATTATATTCACCACCATCACATAATTACTCTTTGTTCCCACAATCTGAGCTCAGGTAGTGTCATAAGAATAATGAATAACATACATTTTCTGAAACCTGACTTGCTTTGACTCAGTAAACAAATGAAAGATTTTCAGGGCTATTACAAAATGACTGCTTTGGAGGACATGTCCACCCCACAAACATACCCCACTCCAAAAAACATGGCCTTATTTCCAGGAAGACTAAAAGCCATTTCCTACTTTGTCTAAGCAAGGCAGCATCATGATCTAGCAAAGTTAATTTTCTCCTTATAGTACTTAGGATTTATTGATGCATGTTACAGACAAATAAATTTTGATTCTTTTTATTAACACTTGAAGGGTAAACTCAGGCACTTTGAAAGATTTGAGGCTTCCCTTCATAGGCTGTGTTTTAACTTGGATATTTCCATTGTGCAGATATGTTTGCTGTAATCTTGAATCTCATTACTTCTTCCTTCCAAATATGTCTCACTTCTAATTGTGAACCTTTCACAGCTTTTACTTATATTCTTTAAAAAGTTGTGTGCACCCAGTTGGAAAAAAAACCTTGGGTGATGGTAAACTACTGAATGAACAATCTAATACCCCTCCCCCATTCTCTGCCCTTCCCTTCCTGTTTAGCACTTTCATGGACATGACAGCTTTCCTACTGCTGATTGTAGAATGCCAAAATTGTTCTGAATTTGGACAGTAAGACTTCTTGTAGCCTGTTGAAAAACAATAAAGTCATCAAATTTTGTTTAAGGAAGATTAACTAGCTGTACAGTGATTTAATCAAGTCTTCTGCAGAAATAGAGCCTGCTTTGAAGAAGAAATAGAGATTCAAGAGATAGATGTTGGAAGTAGACAAAGAATTGGCAATTGGCTGTTCAAGTTGAAGCTAATGGGACTTGAAGTCCAAACTATATCTTCTTCTTCTTATAACAGAAGGCTAAAGATCCCTGACTATAGAGATGGACATGAATGTTGAGTGGATTCTGGAATCAAATCCTGATGAAATATGACTACTTCTAGGTATCCTTTAGCAAACAACTAAATGAGCTTTTTAATATATAAATAGAGATAGAGATGATAGAGATAGAAATAGAGATAGAGATATATAGATAGAGATAGAGATAGAGATAGTGTTAGATTTTCTGTTTATGTATAGCACCATAGAACAAACCAACGGTACAGTCACCATGTGCTATACTGCTAAATTGTTTTTGTCATGTGACTTGTAGCTTCTGAATCAACACACCATGCTTGCAAAGATGAGGTGCGGTTTTTGGATTGAAAAGCATGCTCATTATCTGAAGCAAATTCAATTTCTTCCTTCACATCCCAAAGATGCTTTTTCACGAGGCAACTGGACTTTGTTTTTCTTTGAAGATGTTTCACTTTTCATCCTAGAAGCTTCTTCCACTCTGACTGGATGGTGGGGAATGGAAAGATTTATACTCCTGCAGACAGCTGTTCATTTGCATTCTTTTAGTGAGTTGTTAATGCTACCTGGAGGCTTATCTGTGTCTTCAGGATCACCTGAATAGTGCAAATGGGTGTAGAGCCTTCTTGGAACTGTTGAAAGGACTGTGTTGTAGACTGGAGATAGATGATGTTGTATCCCTCCCCTCTCTGTTGAGAGAGGGCTGTTCAAGTTTGACATAGATGGTCTCTTTGACCCCTCTTTCAAATCAAGGGTCCTCTCTGTCCAAAATGTGGACTTTATTGTCTTCGAAAGAATGGCCTTTGTCTTTTAAGTGCAGATGGACTGCTGATTCTTGAAACCCAAGAATACACTAAGGCATAAGTGTAGTAATCAGTGCTCAGTCATTGCAGGGTGCAAATATGGCTGCCCGCTGTCGCAGCATTTATTCTTTTATACAGTTTTACAAGCAACAAAAGTTTAACATGGCAATAGCATAGTAACAGCATTTCTATTGGTGAAACCCCTTGCCAATCATTAAGAATATAGAAGCCAGAGGCCCAGAACAGGGAACAGTTTGCTGTAACATCCTGTTGGTGTAAGCTAGCTGATATCAGGCAGGTGAGGTCATTGTACCAGCCTGGGATACTTTCCCACATTGCCATAGTGATGTGAAGGGAAGAGATAATGTAGAGAGAAGAAGCATGCAGGCGTTGGAAGGGCAGTTTTCTGCACACGGCCTCTACCTAGCCCCCACGGCCTCTACCTAGCCCCCACCTCTACAATAAGCTTGTCCATCCCAAGGATAAAACACCCAGACACAAACTGAGCAACATGGTATATGCAGTACAATGCAGTGAGCCATGTGCAGATGTGTACATTGGGGAAACAAAACAACTTCATAAATGTGTGGCATAGCATAGGAGGACAAACCCATCAGGACAAGAGTCAGCAGTCCATCTGCAACACAACAGCAGTGGTGTTACCAAGCGGCCACCATTAGCCAAGTCAGTAGCCAGCATGTTCCCCAAAGTGGTAGAGCTATTCTTAAAACCCTGGGGTTAGACAGTTCAGCAAAGCTGTCTGTATTGCAACTGGAAAGCAAATAGAGGTTGGCTCACAGGTGCCAAAGAAACACAGAAGAAAGCATCCTTCAGATCAATAATTATATACAAACTGATATGAGAACCTAGCTGACTGATGAAAGTGTAAGGATTGGGAACCATCTGATGCATTGTAACTGTAATTTGATTGATAGCCCACAGATCTTGACAGAAATGGTAACAGCTGTTGGGTTTCTTGACAGGTCATATTGGTACATTATAGGGGCTAAAAACTTCCCTAATGAGTCCATAGGCAAGAAAATGATCAATTATAGGTTCCAGCTCTTGTAAGGTTTGAGTACATATGTGATATTGTCATAGAGAAACTGGTTGCACATTGGGCAAAAGAGTTACTTCTATGGGAGATGTGTTAATAGCCTGTCCAGGGATTCCAGGGTACCAAACATCTGGGTGTACAAATTGTACCAACAAGCCAGGTGGTTGGTAGACAATGGTATCTGGTGAAACTTGAAGAACCATTAAATGCCAAGCTTGTTCTGGGGGAACTGAGAGTTCTACACAGTTGCCCCATAAAGAGAAAAGTCTGTAATTTGGTGAACAGATTCTGGCCCAAAAGGGGCATTGGACAATCAGGAAGGTATATGAATTCATGAGCGAGGCGGGAATCACTGATGCTTCCCCCTCCCTTATTGTTGCACTGGACTCACCTTTAAAAGATCCATCTCCTCTCTGCCGCAGTTCCTGCTGCCACCCAGATCTGAGGCTGGGGGATGCTTTGCAGCTCTCCGGTGGTCCAATTCAGGTGCCAAAGGCCTTTTCCAGGCTGCCACCACCTGGATCTCAGGCTGGGGGATGCTTCCGCCGCCCTCCAGCAGCCTGTTTCTGGGCGGCGGCAGCCCGGAGAAGGCCTCTGGTGCCCAGATTGGGTCACTGGAGGGCCACAGAAGCATCCCCCGACCTCAGATCTGGGTGGCAGTGGCCTAGAAAAGGCCTCCAATGCCCCAATCCAGCCTCTGGAGGCACATGGAAGCTTCAGTTCTGTTCTCTGTTGCAGAGAACAGAGGCCTAAAGTACCATGAGATCACACAAGATCAGTAGCATGAGATCTCACCCCACTAATCTTGCGTGATCTTGCGTTACTTTAGGCCTCCATTCTATGAGAACACACCAAAGGCCTGGAGCAGCCAAGAAAGTGAAGGATCTCAATTTTCGCAGGGTGAGTATTAAAGGCTTGGTGCTCAGGGAGAGGGTGTGAAGGGAGGGAATAATCAAGGTGAATGTTGCAGAGCCTCTGTGGTCACTCGTAAGGGCAAATGACTGTGGTGGTGCTGCAATATTCGTAATTTTAGGACTTGCTCATAAGTACTAGGGGGTGCTTATCGCGTTACTTCAAACGAGTGTTAAGTGAATGCTCATAACTCAGGGATTACCTATAATATCAATCCTATTTTTTAATTTCCATAATACTGGGACTATGTTTATTATACTAAATGTGTATGTCATAGAAAGGGGATTGTGACTATCTCCCCTTATTTTTTAAAGCTAATACCTTATTATATGTGCAGCTTTCACTCAATTTTTGACTCCTAATATCTGCCTTGACTACTCCCTGCAGTTTTCTTAACAGGTTTTTGAATGGGATTTGTCCTTGCCTGCTATCTGGGGCTTAGAGAGAATGACTGGTCCAAGATGCTGCAGGTAGTACAAAATCAAAATGGAATCAATGATCCATACAACCAATTTAGGACATCAAAGATTTTGCTGATATAAGGAGCGGTGATTGAACTCAAGTGAGATGGTCATCTAAGGCAGCATTTAATCACTGTTGTTAAACCATGGGTTTATTTGTTTATTAAATTTATTTTCTGCTCCATTAGCTGCCAACAGATTCTTTATTGCTACAACAGATTATCATAGTTTCATTCTGGAAATGAACTGGTCTTTTTCTCTCTTTATGGAAAAGGCAGTTCTTTCAAAACTTCCTTCCTGTCAAAATTCCATGTGTTGGAATTAATGCTTCATAACAGTACACATTATATTCAAATTAACAATGAGAACAATCTGTATCATCAGCAGAGAAGTAAATAATAAATAAAATAATTTTTAAAAAATTCCAGGAGCAAATAATTAGCAAAGCTGCCCTATAGAGGTAGTCCTCAACTAGAACCATTCCTTTAGTTATGTTTGTTTATAACATTTATATAGCTGCCCTTCATTCAACCAAGTCAAGGTGGCTCCCTGTTTGAAGTTACAAAGGCATTTTTAAATATCACTTATAACCGGTCTTTGTGCTTATGAGCTATGCAGCAGCATCCCCCCATTATATGATCAAACTTCAGGCAATTATTTATGACTGTTGCAGCATCCTCTGTTCACCTTCTCAGAGACCTTCTCAAATGGTTTCCAACATTCAAAGTCACTAGAGGAACCCAAATTCATTTAACAACCACTCAATTCACTTGGATGAACTCAATTAAAGTGGAAATGTGCATGTCGTTTAGATAAAAAATCATGTGGCAGACAGATGATCCTTGAGAAAACCTAGCTATGATATCACTAAAAGTTTCTACCATGTGACAGCCCATAATCTATCCATCCATCCATATGTACTCCCTTTCTATATATAGCCCCATAAAGGGCAGTATTCAGGAAAGTTTTTATTCAAAAAAAATGTTGATGTTATGATACTGTATAACAATATCTAGAGATAACTATTCTGGAATATTTGATCATTAAGGAAGATGGCCTCATCCACACCAGATAGGATAAGAAGGACTTATATTGTCCCCACTAGTTTGGAATAGGACAACTTGCCCTGCCCACTTGCCCTGGTCAATGCACCCTGCCAACTCGCTGCAAGACAACTTGCCATGGGGACAACTTGCCATGGGACAATTCAATGTGGGTTAACTCAAGAGAGGGACAAGTGAATTGCAGCTCACCCCAGCTTTGAGGACTTCTAACTTGAGAAGATTCAAACCTAAAGCAAGACAAGGCTCGCTGTAATTCACTTGTCCTTCTCTTGAGTTATCCTGCATTGAATTGTCGTGTGGCAAGTTGCCTACAGCAAGTTGCCGGTGACGTTGACCAGGGTGAGTTGTCCTAGACCCTTGCTAGCTAGTGAAAAAATGTTCAGTTGCTTTATCACCTGACATTATTTGGAATCTCAGGAGTAGGTTTCTAGAGTAAAACTGAATTGTCCCAAAGGTGCTTTTCAACGAGGCAACTGGACTTCCTTGTTTTTCTTTGAAGAGTTTTACTTCTCATCCAAGAAGCTTCTTCAGCTCTGACTGGATGGTGAGGAATGGAAGGATTTATATTCCTTGCAGACAGCTGGTCATTTGCATTCTTTAGAGTAGCAGTTCCCAACCGTTTCTATACCCCGCATCCTAGAATGCTTCTGATATAGTCTTGCACCCCTTACAAAAGTTCAAAATAACAGCAACGAATTATGCATATATACAGTATAATTTTGAAACTTCTAAACCCAAGTTTTCGCACCCCCTGGAATATCGTCTCGCACTCCCGGTTGGGAACCCCTGTTTTAGAGAGTTGTTGGGACCACTTGGAGGTTTATCTGTGCAAATGGGTGTAGAACCTTCTTGGAACTGCTGAAAGGATTGTGTTGTGGGTATACAACAAGAAAAACAAGAAAGTCCATTTGCCTCTTGAAAAAGCACCTTAGGGACAACCATGACCTGCATAACTGAGTATCTCCATAGACACTATCCTGAATTATTCCCTTAAACTAAATTAAAACTAGCACTATGCCCCTGAGACATGCAAAACTGTTTTTTTTTCCATTGCACATCTCTGTAGTAACAGTCATTTCCAATTCCCCTTCTAATTACTAACATAATGGTTGTTTATTCTATTTTCCACCACTACCTTTAGTTTTAAAGCAATTTCACAATAAAGGGATGTTCAACAACTCAAAATCTGACCTGTAACTATCTCTGGCATTGCTGAGAGTAGAGGTAGAATTAGGCAGGCACTGTGCTAGTCTGAAATTACAGGATTTTCTTCCAGATCTGGGATGAAACTGGAAAATTTTCACTGCCGTTATCCTCTTTTGTGAGCAATGAGAGCCAGCACTGTGCCAAAGAAGAGACTATAGGAAAGATCTCCATAGTTATATCTCAATTGCTGCTGCAGTAAATGAAGCTCTTTTTCGTTCTGCTTCTCTCCCAATTTTCCTGTGCCACGATGCAGATGAAATGTCTATTTGAGGTGATAACAGAAGAATTTAACATGTTTGAGGAGTTTAATTACTACAAGCCAGGAGACTACCTGATTACTGGAATAATATCTAAAATAATTGCTGCATTTTACCCCCATATTTTCTCCATGCCTCCAACCCACAGATTGAGAAGGTAATTTGGGCATATACAGGATTCTTGTGCTTGAGTTTAACGTTTCTGATGTTTTCTCTTTTCCCAATTCCTCAGGTCATTATTGCTTCTCACAATTTGCTTTAGGGAAAAGACTCCTGGAGCACATGAAGATTCTTGAAAAGTTGAGCATGCAAAGTTCCTTTTCAGTTCTTCTGCAAGAGTCAGTCTTAATTAAGCAATTTTGGCAGCATATTTTTATGAAGGCTCTTGCCTGGGTAGTATTCTTCCTCTTCTCAAAATGATTTCCTTGATTCTGTACAAATATTTATTTTCTTTGTTTATCTATTTCTATACCATAGTTATATAGTTGCCCACAATCTCACAGCCAAGTGTCTCAATACCTTTGAGCTGAAGATGACCTCATGAGCTTTCCACAATCTCCTCTCCTTTCCTACCTTGCTCTCAGTCCTTCCTTTCTCCTTTTCCAACATTTCTTTCTAACTGATGCCTTTTACTGTTTTATAAACTTTTCTGGCTTTCTTTTTACTATTGCATTAAATAAGAAAAGCTTTTAAAGACAAAATTCACAGAGAATAGACACTTTACATAATAAGCTAATGTTTTAATTGTAGAGGATTACATTAAAGATTTTTAATAGAGGGCAGTTACTGCAAAGACATCAATATTCTGCAGCAAAATAACTTGTGGCTCTAAAGATGGCTTATTGAGTAATGGGCAGATAATACCACTTGCTCAAGACTAAATCCAGCTCTTGAATCTGTCCAAATGTTACTTTCTAGGTGGCATAATAGGAAGAAATAATATTATATTATGAGAACATATATACACATGTAAAATTCTTGAAGAATTCTAGAGGGCTACAAAGACCTCACTCCTTCAAGCATTGGGCAATGTTGGGTTGAACTGTGAGAATCTCTGGCCTGGCTTTGAAGGGAAGAATATATTTTTAACTATATTTTATGAATGGTTCAGAGCTGCCTAGTGTTGTTATACAGATAAGATATTATTTTGCAGTTCATCAGCAATATTCAACCACGTCCTGCTCTTCTTCTTGGGTGTTCATAAGATCAACCAAAATTCTCGGCTCTTACCCAACATCACCCTGGGCTACAACATCTATGATAACTTCCTCAATGCAAGAATAACATACGAGGTCATGATGAATTTGCTGTCTACAGGGCAGGAGAATGTCCCAAATTACAGATGTGGAAGACAAAAGAATATCCTGGCAGTTCTTGAAAACACAGATTCTGAACTCTTTGATCAAATTTCTACTGTCTTGGGCATCTACAAAATTCCACAGGTATAAAGTTAAAATGAGCTTAATCGCATGTTCTGAATTTTCAAATTAGACTAAAAGGCAGACCTCATATATATCTCCAGATAAACCTGGAGGCAGAGATTAGACATTAAAAGATCTACAATAATTTTGTTTCCATGAAGTAAACATATACATTTATTTTATCTCCCTGCCACAACATGGCTTGGAAATAATGCATAAGGTTTGTGACTTCTCCTTTTCTGCCACTGAAAAGTCTTTTTTTTCAAAGACCTTGGGTCCCCTGGTAGACTGTTTAATAAAGTTGGGGAAAGGATGGAGAAATGTTAAGGCAAACAGTTCCTTAGAGAAAGAGAATAGTTGAATGGGGCCTGTTGCAAAAATGAGTGTTTGTTCCAAAACCCCCAATATCAGTACTTAATAGCATGAAACAGCATGAAATGAAAGCATGAATTGACTTTTTTTTCCAAGTAATATTAAAATGAGTTAGATCAATGGCAATCAGGCATTTTCAAAATGGTATGACAAAAAAAGAAAAGTGCCAAGAACGTATGAGTGCTGAATGAGTTAATTTTAAACTGAAAAGTTGGTGACCTGAGCTAAAGAGGTAGGTTTATTCATAGAAACATAGAATTAAAAACTTAAAAGAGGCTGTAGAGATCTTCTGACCTGATTCCCCATCCGAAGCAGCAATCCTCAGATCACTGCAAAGGGCTTCCTAAATTTTCCTTCAAAACCTCCAGTGATTGAGATCCAGGAGGCAGGCTAGTCTAGCAACAATTCTGATAAGCATGAAATTCTTCATTTTTTAAAAAAAATGGGTCTAGGGCTCAAATTGCAAAAGAAAGATATGAAGGAAAAGTGAATAGGTCACAGAAGACCATAGAAGCACTTGGAAAGCTTAAAGCTTATCCAGTCATTTATTCTCTCCTTTATGAACAGAAGCTTGCCACAAGGACACTTATCTTGAGTGCTTTAGAGTGAAGTTATTAAACTGCTTCTGCATTTCAGATGTCTGAGTCTATTATTAGCTACCCCAGCTCCTGATTCAGGAGACTATAGCATTTGACTTTTTGTTTATACTTTTTATGACAAAACAAACCAATTTTTTATTATCAGTGTAAGCATGGATTCCTATGGCTGGCTGGAGACTGTATAAGATCTGCCTTCAGTTGTTCAAATGCCTATTGATGTTAGAACCCCAGTAAAAAAAAAGATCCAATGTTATGATTCACAGAATGGCTGCAGACTCATATTAGAGTATTGGGTTTAGTCATCACTCACAATTGGAAATCTATTTCAGTGTTTATGACACTACTAAATCAGGAAAGTTCTCTGTTCCAATATATTAAGATGTGCCTATCTGATTTAGATTACTTCTAGAGTCTGATCTACTAGATGGATGACCCACCGTGTGTGTAGGGCTCATGTGAGCCTCAGCTGTTGGCAGCAAAAGTGCCTAAATTAATCCACTTCATCACCCTGGCTCACCTGTATGGTAGAGTTTGACCAGAAGGATTTGCTGCATAAGGATCACCCACATATTACTTCAGAGCTCACTAGGGTAAAAAGGAGTAAACAGGACAGGAGTAGAGAGCATCAAGGAAGCTAGCATATTTCATGCAGGCATTGTTTTCTGGAAACCTCTCTCAAAGATGGGGAAAGCAACTTATGTTTAAACATTTGACATTTAATATTAAAAGTGACACAAACTACCAATACCTTCTTTCCTCTTAGATCAACACTGGTGAGATTAGCTACATTCTTCAGCAAAATCATCATTTTCCTTTTTTCTACCGGATGACCCCAAAACCAGAACCTCCTTACTCAGCAATTTTCAAGCTGCTCCTGCATTTCCGATGGACGTGGATTGGCCTCCTTTATCAGGACAATGAAAGAGGAGAAAGCTTTAAAAGAAGTTTGGAAACTCTAGCTGTAAAAAATCGGATCTGCATCGTCCTCTCAGAAACCATCCCAACAACCAATGTGGATATACATACCAGAGACGCATTTCTGCAAGAACAGAGAAAAATGTTCCTTCTCCTTAGCAATATTCACATAAAAGTTATAGTTTGTCAACTTGATTTTCAGGCCACAGGAACACTAATAGGAGTACTAATTGTTAATGAAAGGAAAAAGACATTCATTGAGGGAAAAGTGTGGATTGCAACAGCTTTGTCAAGATTAAGCATAAGAATGCTTTCCAACTATCTTGACCTCCAACGAAAACATGTTTTGTTTTCTTTCCAAACCCAGACAAACAGGAGACAATATTATGACTTTGATACATATTCCCTTACTGGGAAACAGTTTGTAGAAGAAGCATTCCAGTGTTCCTATTCAAGGCCTTTGTTGTCTAAGAAGGTTTGGGAAAAATGCACAGAAAAAGAGAATGGAGTATTCCCACCCCTTGAGGTGCTTGCAAGAGTGGTAATTGAGGATGGTTCTAGTATTTCCAAAGCAATCCATGCTGTGGCCTCAGTCCTCCATGCCACCTCTTCGAATCAGATGAGTAAGAGGAGGATGCTGGCTGGAGACCATCAGTCACCCCAGATTGTACAGCCATGGCAGGTAAGACTTCTCCTTTGAGGTTTCACGGATGCTTTCACTTCCTACCTATTAAATTCGATATAGGGAGAGGAGAGATATTCCAAACAGCAGTTATCCAGTCTGTAGTATTTCCAAGTGTGTGTGAAAGAGAGATTATAAGGATAATTCTTCCAAACTGAAACTACCTATGCTGGCTTGGGATGCTGTAATCACAGAGATATCTCCATAGTGACAAAGTATTTTTCCTCATTTGCAAATTAAATAAGCTTCAAGATGCTCCAGCAATGCTCAGATCAGGTTCTGATAGATAGGTAAAACAGATCTAGTCGTCTGCAGAATTCAGTTTATGTATAGCTTCTTAAGAACATTTTATTACATATGTACAAGGAGTCTTTGACTTACAACAGTTTAGTTACAACAGCACTGAAAAAGTGACTTACATGTAAATAAAGACTCAAACATCCAGGCCAAAAGTATCTTAAAAGGTTAAATCATGGTAACTGGACCAAAATTTATTAAACTGAGACATTTCATTACTCATCCAAGTAACTTCTTCAGTCAAAATGAAAATTTTTGTTAGGCATAGAGTCATTGGAATGTACTAACTCTTGCCATATTGACTGCAGGAGGGTTTTCTTCCCAAAATGAAATGCAATATGTAAATAAACATTGACTTATGTCCATTTTTCACACTCACGACAATTACAGCATCCCATGATCATGTGATCAAAATTGAGATGCTTGGCAACTGACTCATATTTATGATGGTTGCATGTGATAACCTTTTGTAATCTTGTGACAAGTAAAGTCAATGGGGACACCAGATTCATTCAACAACTGTGTTACTAATTTAACAACTGTAGTTATTCACTTAACAACTGTGACAAGAAAGGTCATAAAATGGGTCAAACTCACTTAACAAATGTCTCACTTAGCAACAGAAAATTTGGTCTCAATTGTGGTCGTAAGTCAAGGACTACCTGTAAAGTATATATGAAAATAAGAACAAGAACCTGTAATATAACATTTTAACTGTTTATATTCTGTATCTGATTTGGGGGTAATTCATATTGCTGTAGCACCTCTGGCAGAGGGCAGAATCAATACTAAGCATAGGTACTATAAGGAGCAAGTAGACTTGATCCCCATACGTTTTAAGCAATAGGGATTATGATAGGATTTCTCTTGAATCCTTCTCTGTTATGCACTGGCGTTCCTGACCATTTGCTTTGCTCCAGTTCAGAAAGAGGGTGGTGGAACACAGGACACTTCTTAGTCACCCACTTCCAGCTGCTTCCACCCATCATTTCCTTCCCCTCAGCAAGGCTTTGTCTCATTGATCGACTTCTGGCTTAAGGAAGGCTCCCATTCTGAATACTGTAGCTCATATTTTTCACAGCCCAGGAAGTGACCCAACAACTAGAAGTTCTTTGCCTCTTTCTTTTGATCAACCTGCCTGTTTGTCTTAATTCATGACTCTACATCTTCCATATAAGTTCTCTATTTGCCCTTTACATCCAGCTGCTGCTTCTGTCTTTGCCATCTGAAAGCTGGCAGAGAACTTAAATACATTAAAGTATTTAACTTAAATACATTAAAGTATTTAAATCCTGCAATGCATTAAATGATTCACAGTTGGGCTTGCTTCCTGCAGAGGAACAATTTAGTAAAGAGATTTTGATTCCCTACTGGCTGGAACAATAGATAGATAGATTAAAGAGAGAGAGCAAGAGCCAGATAGAGAGAGCCAGAAATAGAAATAGAGGGATAGAAAGAGGTAGACAGACATGGCATAAAAAACCTAACAAAATCACATGCAGTATATCACAGAGAAACTCTTTTATTTAATGAGATGTAGTAAACTTTTAAAACATAATTTCATTTTTTTCTTAAAATTATGTTGAGCTATGGTTTAGCAGGTCAGTTTAGTGATTCCTTCAATGAAAGGAAATATAAGGGGCCCTTTGTGCTGTCTGAGCTTGCTTGTTTTCTTGCAGATGTTTCATTACCCAAAGTAGGTAACATCCTCAGTGCTAGTAAGGAGCGGAGTTTCTGTCAATGTTGTGGGGGTGATCTTAGAGATTCTTTTGTTGGGCTGTTTGCTGTTGGCTCTTGGGCAGTTTTTTGATTGGGGTATTGTTTACTTGATTGTTGGTCTGATGTTAACCTTGGAGAACATCTATGCAACCGATCTGGGTGCAACCAAAATACAACCAAAAATATGGATCAGATATGTAGATAACACCTTCACCATAATAAAAAAGGACCAATTAGAGAACACCCCAGAACCATCAACAACATTTTTTAAGAAATCCAGTTTACTACAGAAGAAGAAAAGAGCAACTTGCTACTCTTTCTGGACATCCTAATCAGCAGAGACCACAGTGGCAAACTAGAAATGCAAGTCTACAGAAAAACCATCCATACTAAGCAAATGCTCCACTATCAAAGCAATAACCCAACCTCCCACAAGAGAAGATGCATAAGGACCTTATTTAAACAAGCCCAAACACACTGCAGCAACCCAGAACAGCAAAAAAAAGAAAAAGGAAATGGAGCATCTATACAACACATTCCAACAAAATGGATACCCACACAACTTTATCAAAAAGTCCCTGACCACTCAACCTGATACAGCACAACCAATACAAATGCTAAAAGGAATTACACTGCCGTACATCAAGAATATCTCAGAAACCACCAACAGATTCCTACAACCACATGAAACCAGCTTTGCACACAAGCCAACTAAAGCCCTTCAAAACATCCTAAGCAGACCAAAAGACCCAATCCACCCCCCCAAAAAAACTTGAATCATCTAAAACATTCAATGTAAGGAGTACAACAACCACTATGTAGGACAAACAGGCAGAACACTAGCAGAACACATCCATAAACATCAACTAGCAGTCAGAAGACATGATGAATTTTTTTAAATTTCACAACACATAGACAGATTTAACCATAGTTTCAATTGGGAAAATGTGACTATCCTAGGCCAAGCCAAGACCAAAACTGCTATGGAATTTCTAGAAGCCTGGCACTCTGACAAATCAGCCATCAATAGACACAGAGACATTAATAATATCTATAGACTATGCAATAGAGACTATCACCCAGCCCCTCAAAAGAACAAAAAGACCCAAGCAACTCTCCATCAGCAATCAGCACCCAGATCAGCATAGATTAACTCCAAAGTTAACATCAGACCAACAATTAAGTAAACAATATCTCAATCAAGAAACTGTCAAAGAAGCCAACAGCAAACAGCCCAAGCAAAGAATCTCTAAGACCACCCCCACCAACACTGACAGGACAAGCCATTAGAATATGACCTGAGAGCAAATTCCACTTAGGATGTTACCTAGTTTGGGTAATGAAACATCAACAAGAAAACAAGCAAGCTCAGAGAACACCAAGGACCCCTCATCTCAATCCCGAACTACAAATATTTTCCTTTATTAAATGAAAGGTATTTATGTAAAAAAAACCTGCTGTTCCATGGAGAAGGAGCAAGAAAAGCTTACCAGAAAATACTGAATCATCCTCTCAGACCAATGCTGATTTGAATAGGTGAATTATTTATTTATTTATTTATTATTTGAATTTATATCCCGCCCTTCTCCTTGCGGACTCAGGGCGGCTGACAATCAATTAAAAACACCACTAACAATCACAAGTTAAAATTAATTAAAATGAAATATTTAAATTGTCTAATTAAAAAGTAATTAAAAACCCTCTAAAAAACCCCTCTTAAAAATTATCCTAGGCCAGTC